AGCAGTCCAGAAAAGCCAGCTTGTTACTATTAAAGTCAACTGCCTCCTTTCAAACTATTGTAGTAAAGCAAGAGGCATAACTTTCACTATAGACGTATTCTATTGTATTCAATTAGTGTGACCTTTATCCTTGACCTACACTTTGTGTAGGTTTGCAACAGTCATTGAAATCTTAATTGGGTGAATATCCTTATTTCCAAAGACGTTTTACAGCTTGATGAACAGTGTTACCTTACTGTCATATTATTTCGCTTTATTAGTTTCTCTTTATGTAATTATGTTGATTCAAATTGTAATAACAGTGCAAAAATCGACTAATCGATAATCAGGCAATACATTAGCCTAATGACTGTTTCATAAATTTCGAGTTAGTATTCATCATGGACTGACATCAGTTGGATGAACATTGGTAGCCTAGGAGCACAGGACAGCTGTTTCGTCCTAGTATGACCCCAGGCGGGGTTATGGGTGAGCACTTCTGAGTAGTCTCATACTGGGACAAAACAGCTATTCAGTGCTCCTAAGTTTCCGATGTTCCTCCAACTGACGTTGGTCCATGATCAATGCCAACTTGTAACCAATCAATCCCACAAACCCGCAAATTGAATTGCCTCATGAATGCCACATTAAACGCTATGAATACCATACCTTTTTATTTTGTTGTTGTTCATTACAATAATGGCTAATGAATTTGATGAATTTTGTCTTTCATCTTAATTATTAATCATGAAGCTGCGGCTCATTGTTTTGGAGAGCTGACTTTAAACGAGTAAGTTGTGAGTTCGAATCCCTCTTCATCTACGGAGATTTGAACTAATCAGGTAGCATCATCAGACCTGATACAATAGGTATGGTTCACTGCTTACTGCATGGATGTGCACATGACTGCTGAGTGCATTTCGAACTTTTTTAAACAATACTGATTTTTGATACAGACAGCAATTCGATGTTTGTTTGTCCGCTGGGTTCCTAATGGAACATACACCTTCAGTAGCACGTCTCCAATGCGCTCTGTTCTCTGCAAACTTTTGAACCTGGCTTCACGACAGCCCACAACCTCTCATTTCCTCCTCACACCATCTCATCCACGTCATCCTCACCTCCGACGCCAAACTCGTCGCTTCCCATCAGGGTTCCACTCGAGTGCCTGGCCTGACGCGTGATGTCCCCAGTCGGCCTTCTCAGTGTATGCCCAATCCATCTCCACTTCCTTCCAGTGCATATTTGTTCAGCGATAGGTTCTTGGTTGGTTTGTTGCCAGCTAGAGTTCCTTGTTCCTTATTCTTATTATCCTGGCCATCTGATCTTCAGTAACGAGCCAGTGTAGGTGGCAGTTGTTGATGAATGTGTGTAGTTTGTTGGAAATGCCTTTCGTAAGGCACCAAGTCTCTGAGCCATATGGGATGAGTGACTTGACTGATGTTGGTGTTGAAAATCCGGATGTTGTTCATGCTTAATGTTGAGTGCAGACGATCTCCACACTGCTTTCAGGCTAGTGAACGCCTGTCTTGATTTTCCGATACTGGCTGGCTTTGACATCCTCGTCTGTGCCGTCAGTGGTTGAAACGATGCTGCCTAGGTGGTGGGTGAAGGAGGCTACTTCCTTTAAGTTTCTCCCGTTGATGGTGATTGGAACTTGTTGTTGTTGTTGCTATTAGTTAATTGTAGTATAGTATTCCAGTTCTGAGCGGTAATTTTATCTGGCAAATAGTAAATTGAATTATTGCTTTCTAGCACTGTAGGAAGCTGCTTGAAACTGCCTTAAGTACTTATCATTCATGTACTTGAAATTTTATCAATTTGGTGCTTTTTCCTGCTCCACGGTTAACACATACTTTTTTAATTTCTTAATAATGTATATTGTGACTGACTGATAATAAATCAATTTTTTGTTTCTCCCACAATCTCAGAAGTCATGTTTTTGTTCATAAGAGTAATAGTTAGCTTTTATTTTTACTAAGTCAGTAAAAGCTTTTACTAATGAATTCTCTTCTGTTCATCGTTACTGCATTAGTTGATAGTGGCTGATTGTTGAGTCAGTAATAGCATTTTCGTTAGCTGCATTTTGTAGCATAATAATCTAGTTCATTGTCAGGAAATACTAAGCATTTAAAACTATTTTCTGGTGCCCTTTTTCTTATTCTTATTCCTTCTTAAAAACCTACAGTTTTTCACCACTGAACAATATAATCATTAAAAAATTTAACTGAAATATGGAGAATTGAAAAACATCTTAAGTATGCTATCGTCTTTGGATAAAGCTTAATTTTTCGACATTAGGATTATTATGTCCAGTATCTAGAGTTATGAATGTATTATTTTTGGTAAACTCTAACAAAAATATTCTATACATAGAACTATAAACATTACGGATTTTCTTGAAACCACAAAACAGTTGTCATTCGAATCATCTGTTATGATATATATACTTTGTAAATTACTAGTTGATGAGTTTTCATCAATTTGAGAGGAAGAAAGAGAGTTGTATCATTTTTCTTAGAAACAAATGTGATACGATATAGTGCTAATAAGTTATTGACTAGTCTGCAAGATGGAAAAAGGAATGATAATGGTTTTCTATCAACTCCTGAAAGTTAGGATTAGCTCGAGGGGTTGTGTACGTAGATCTTATTCATTTTTATTACGGTATAGAGTCAAGCACAAGTAAAATTAACATTCTTCTTTTTTTCTAGTTATTAGTTAACCACTCAGTGAATAAATGTAAGCGTAAACCTTCCCCTAATAATTCTGGTCTCAATGTCAAATTTCGAAGTAGGAATCTTTCCTCTTCACTACTTTCATTTTATTGCTACACTAGAAGCAGTAATTTCTGGTTACTGCCTATAAAAATGTTATTGTTGGGGGATATCCAAATGTTTAGCATTGTTTTCCTTTAAGTTATCATTTATGACTTGGCTCACTCTTCTGTAACAATATAATCAACTCTTTAAAAGATACAGTTATCGGCAGCTGTTCTCCTGGTAACCACAACCCAGTGATGGAAAGGATTAGTAGCTCAAAATAAAGATGGTTTGGTGTTCTCTGAGCTTTTGCATTTTGGTTTAAACCATTTTATGAAGTTAATACTGATTATCTCACCCAACTTGGTGATGGAACGTCCTCTAGAAAATATCAACGTTCAGCTAACACCGAACCATAATTAACTTCATCTCTGATCTAGTCATCCATAAGACAGACCAGGTAAAATCAACGTGGGACCTCACACATAAGTGCATCGGTTCAAGTTGCCACATTTTAAAGTGGTTTGTAAAGGATAGGTAGATAGAAAAAGAGCGATACCAAAGTGAGAGAAAGGATAATTTGAAGGTAACAGTTAGTGCAGATATTCAAGCTTTCGAAGATGTCAAGGTGTGAATACATTTGCGGCATTGTGACCGATTTTCAACCATGTCACAAAGAGTCCACACCCACTGATTCCTATGGTCTAAGGAGACCCCGGCCGGCCAGGTAGTCTACATCACCAAACATGGCTCAGACTAACAGTCAGAGACTCCATCGATTGGTGCCACGTCTTGATCTGATCATCCTGAACCATTTTTAACTTAATCCAGATCCACCTAACATGGCACGTCGAGGCAGACGGTGGCTCAACATGCACAAGACATTTCCAAGCCACCCATGGAGAACAGGAAAATAAGAGAAAACGGCAAGTGAATTTCTCAGCTGTGATTATGGTTCACTTTACAACTGGAAATACACAGGTATTTTTAGAATTAACGACAGTCACCTTACAAATACCCACTTACAATGCAGATAAAATAAACCTAGCAACTGGAAAATCCAATTCTAAGCAAATGATTACATCTTCCAGCAGGTATCTATAGTATAACTACCATAACAAATTATTATTTACAATTATTTGTCCATTGGGTTCCTAATGGAAAGTACGGCTGAAGTAGCATGTCTCCATTGCACTCCATTCTCTCCAGTCTTCTCAACCTTGCTCCACAACTACTCACAAGCTTTCATTTCTTCCTCACACCATCTCCTTCATGTCACCCTCACCTCGCACGCCAAACTCGTCATTTCCCATTCCAATTCCACTCAACGACCTAGCCTGACCTGACATGTGATGTCCCCAATCGGCCTTCCCCATGTATGTCCAGTCCAGTTCATTCCATCTCCACTTTATTCTCCTGCATATTTGTTGGGCAATGGGTTCTTGCCTCGTTGCCAGCCAGAATTCCTTGTTGTTCATTCCTATTACTCTGGTCATCTGATCTTCAGTGTGAGTATCGAGTGAGCGAGCGTAGGCGGCAGCTGTTGATGTGATGCATGTCTGTGGTTTGTTGGAAATGCCTTTCGTAAGACACGCCAAGTTTCCGAACCATCGCATAGAAGCAGTGACTTGACTGAACTAGTGTAGAAAATCCATTCAGATCTTGTTCACGCTTTATGCAGTGCAGTGAAGTGCAGTGCAGTGGAGTGGAGTAGATCTCCACACTGGTTTCAGGTTAATGAAGGAAGGCGTGTCTTGTTGTCTTTTGGGATCGTGGCTGCTTTGACGTCCTCATGTGTGCGGTGACTGCCGCCTGTAGTTGAAACGATGCTGCCTAGGTAGGTGTAGGTGAGGGATTACTTGCTTAAGTTTTCTCGCGTTGATGGTGATTGGTGCTTGTTGTTATTGGTTGGGTACCTTCATCACCTCTGTCTTCTCTACGTTTACGTGAATGAAATTCCGTCTTTGCTGTCCTGCCTGTTCTGTCAACTTGTTAGTTTTTGCCTGTAGATCTTCGAGTTTGTGCCACAAGACATTGGACATTAATCATCTTTGGTGAAATCCAAATCTTTTAGGCTATAACAATATCACTGTATTATATTGACATTTAGAGTGATTTTGTATGAAACGTGTTTTCGCAATATTAATAAAGTTTAGAAGTTAACTAAACCGTTTTTATTTTTGTACTAATACCCAACGATTTATAGATGCATATAAGAAAATATCAAGAAAATTATGTTTTATCCGTTCAAAAACATACCCATCTATTTTGTCAATGAACTGTTGCACATTTTCTGTATCTTCTTCCTATAATGAAATCATAATTATTGATAATAAATAAAATCTTTACACTATACTGAATGTTTTCGTAAAGTAATGCTGATAATAACCTGAAAAATAACCACTTCAGTACTTTTTCTCTACTAAGTTTCAATATTAATTTGTAAAAATAATATGATGTGTAAAATAACACTGAAAAACTCTTAAAATGTGTTTGATATCAAAAATCTATCTTTTATGTGAGAATTCAAACTGTTGAAGACAGACGAATACTTTTATTCATCTAGTAGTGTCATTGCTTGGAAATTCACATTAGTCTCAAAGTAGTAGTAGAACAAAGTAACTGTTCAGTACTCTGAGGTTTTCAATAATTTTTCAACTGTGATAAAAACCACCTTGAAACTAATAAATTCCCACAAACCTCTTATTAGAAATTTCAGCTCTTATATTAAAACTTGTTTTTATAATAAGTAAATCAGACTTAGCGCTCAAAAATTCAAACAGACTTAGTAGTTAAACTACAACTACGATGGTTAGAAACCTAGGAGTATTTTGTTCCCTCTTTTTTTCTTTCTTTTTGTTGACTACGACTCATTAACTTTTTACTCATTTACATCTCATTACTATTTCATATTATGCTTATGATTATCCTTATAAACACTTTATATATATATATATATATATATATATATATATATATATATATATACATATATATATATATATATATATATATAATGGATTATTGATTTTAATTTGCACAGAGTTGTAGTTAGTCCTTATTATTTTCAATGGTTGATTGTTGATAACCTGAAACTAGCTGAAGAGAATACATAGTAATACAGTGTGTGCAGTAGAAATTGCTCTCAACCCAGTATTGACCAATACATAAAGAGAGCTAAATGTATGAAATTATCTAAAGCTTTATTCATTAGTAAGTGCTCATAGCACAAATTAAGTGATTTAAAGTTGTACTTTGTAAGTATGATATTTATTAAAGTTATATATCATTCATTCATTTTCTTATCATATTGATTTCTTTTGACATAGGATAAAAATTATTACAGAGATGTAAGGCACACTAGTAAACATTCATGTGTATAAAATAGAAATGTTTTAGGTAGTTTTCGATTTTTTTTAATTTCTGTTATTTACTATTTCCACTAAGGTTTTATTTCAACCTTCTTGGTAGCTGAAAGAGAAATAATAGTAATTATTTTCTCCATTCATTCCAGCATTAAAAGTGAACGCAGCAAACACACATATGCATAGGCAGTGAAATAATTAATAAAATGAACTAACTAACTTTTGCTTAATTTATCTGCCTGCATAGTATTTCTTTTGTCTTAGTGAACAGAATAGATTGCAGTGTGTCATATTACTAGAGCATGTATACAAGATGTAAACAGTAATCAAGGAAGGAAGAGGGAAACGAAAACTTTACGGGCAGAGAAAAGTTGCTTGTTTGCATATTCATAACCTTTAGAAACACATTCATAAGCGAAATTACTTCAAGTTAGATTTATTACGGATTAATAATTATTTGAAGAATAATTCAGTCAGTCAGTATTTTATGTGTCTATGTCAAGTCTCTGTTCAAAACAAGGCCATATTTAGCATTTCACTAAGGATGGCTAGAAGTTACCGATTGGTTAATGCGATGTGTTATTCTTGCATACGAAACGAAAACACTAGAAATATAGAGATATTATTGGCCTATTATTCTTTCATAAACCATAAGAAATCTTCTCTGAACTACTTTACAATGTATGCAATGTTTCGTTTTATATGAAATTCGTGTTAATATGAAAGTAATACTTGTTGTCGTTAGGACATGGTGTAATAGAACAATCAGTATTGATTAGATCAGAGATTATTTTGGCTACACTGACAAACTGTGACGAAAATTTAATCTATCACTAAAAGTGTGGTGATAGAAGGTAACTTAATGCGTTTATTTAACTGTTACATTCCAGCTGAATTATATAACTATATTTCTGGCTTATATCAAACTCATATACCTTCCAACAACTTCTTCTTAGGTTACCGAAATGATATTCAAAACATGTAAAGTTTTGCACTGATTAGTTTTGTTCCACTAACTCGATAAACGGCAACAATAAATAACTTTCCTCACCTCCGACGGTGTGTAAATGTTTTAGGTAAACTATAATGACGTAAACAGGCCTAATGCATTCATCAATTTCGAGTACACATATGCGTTTCACTTTTTACAATTAACTGTTGTCTATTGATAATTTTCGCGTACAACCAGAAAACCGCAGTATGCCTACATCCTCTTCAATCTTGTCATTTATTACTGATAATCAGTAAAATGTACGCTTAGAATTATACTGAAAATGTTTAAAGTTATAAACATAAACATAACATGACTGCTGCTTACCGAGGATTTCAGGGTTGAATATCTGCATCAACGTTCTCCCATTATGGATATTTTAGCCAGACTGTGTCATCATTCATTCGTTTTACTTATCATATGAACGTGTTCTAACTTAGGCAGGACTTTAAGGTGATATACAGTGAATATATAATATGCTATTGGTATCAGTTTTATACCACATGAACATGCATACCTACATACTTGTTAATAGGCATAACTTAGTGAGAATTTCTTAGGAATTTGACTAGAGGTTAAGAAATGCCCATAGAATGCGGCGGAAAAGTTTTATCGTAGGTAATTTACCACTGAACATTACGTCACGCAAGTCATCAGTGCATATTATAATAAATGGTAACTCAATTTGCTCAGGCCATATATTTTATCTTCAAACTTAGCATCCATGCTTTAATTCCGAACATTACTCGAAAAATGACTGAATCTTTCGTTATATCAATTAAGAGCCATACTACAAAAATACTTATGCTTAAAAACTTAGAGCCTACCTTCTAAAGTCATATCTTATGCTTATTCTGTAATAGCAGATACTGGATATTTGCACAGTACGCTGGTGATTCAGTTAGCCGTTGGATATCTCACCGGTGCGACGGCTGTGGTCGTCAAACATGTACAGTTGGCAATTGAATACCTTTATAAGGTTGGCTTACTGAGGAAAAACTGAATTAAGCAAGAGCGATTTACTTACTGCATTAGTTATTCTACACCGACAGTTTACAGAGATCATTTTATAGGACAGCGGAAGCATGTAATTAAACTTTATAAGTTCCATTTTAGTCTGTTTATTAAAAATATTACACAGTGAAACAGTAGCATTTACTGGATAACGTTTCAGACACAATTTATTGTCCATATTCATAACAGGTAACTCCACAACCTCGAGACAGACTTTATATATTCCTAATTTTTTCTCCTTCTCTATGATGGCAAGGGTAGTAGAATTTTCTATATATCTGGGACAGGTGCAGAATCATTTCGATTGCATGTATTTGGTGTTGATTCGAATTTTTGTTTATCGAATCAACACCAAACACATGCTATCGAAATGATTCTGCACCTGTCCCAGATATATAGAAAATTCTACTACCCTTGTCATCACAAACGAGAGAAAATCAGGAATATATGAAGACTATCTCGAAGTTGTGGAGTTACCTGTTATGAATATGGACAATAAATTGTGTCTGAAACGTTATCCAGTAAATGCTACTGTTTCACTGTGTGATGTTTCCAATAAACAGACTAAAGTGGAATTACAATCGACCACAGAGCCCAAGTTTTACTATTATATTAATAAACTTTATAAATTTGATTTAAGTCCAAAACTAACGAAAAAAAAGTGATAATTAGATGACGTTTAAAGTATTTAAGTACTTAAACTATTAGTTAGCAGCTGAAAAATTTCATCTCTCTCTCTTTCTCTCTGTGATCAGACAGTACTTACGTCATTTAAAACTGATACACTGTAAGTGTTTATTATGTAACCGAGTAATCTTTCTACACCAATTTTTTTCCTAACAGGTATATATATTTTCAATGAAATCGCAATATTATCCAACTAGATATTTTACGCACTGTTTAACTACTGGGAAAAAATACAAGTACATTCGCCTATCAATGATTTCATAGTCCTGTTTTCAGTCACTTATTAATAAATGATATTTAGGATGAAATGAGATTGAATTGTCACGTTGAATTCAGATGTTTATTTAGGCGGTTTTTCCAAACACCTACCAGTTGTCGGTTACACACAAAGTACCCTGGTATGAACATATTTATGTGTTACTAAAAGATATATGGTAATTTTATAAATTTGATTCATTCTAAAAATTGACGCTGTTTTTGTAAAACTTTGATCGCATATACATTAAAGTATTGTGAAAAAAAGAAATGTGTTTAATCAATAAATTACTTATACAGGAAACAACTAAGTGGAAATGTAATGAAGCTGTAATACTTTGTAAAGTTAAACTGTTGAGTCAAAATGTCATTTGTCTTTAAAATTGCTGCACAAAAGTGAAACTAATGTATACTATATCTGTACTTAATCAGAAAAGAAGATGAAATTTGCCACAATTGAAGACAAGTAGAGGCTAAAAACATGCCAATATATGCAAATTTATACAGAAACATGTTTAAACATAGTTTTCATCCTTATCAGAAATTCAACAATCTCTGAAAACTAACAAGCTCATAATAATCGTTTATCTGAATGATGAATATTTTGCAAATTATAAAGTATTTGGATATAATGCAACCGACTGTCTGATAAAATCATCGTACAGCCTTGCACACAAGTGCATTGGTTCACGTTGCTACACTTCACAGTAGTAGGCAAAGAACATGTAAATAGAAAGAGAGTGATACCAAAGTAAAGATGTATGAGAGAATAAATAATATGAAGATAACGGTCAATGTAAATATTCAAGAAGTGAATACATCTGCGCTGTTGTGACCGATTTTCAGCCACGTCACCAATAGTCCGTAACTACCGATTCCCGCTGTCTCGAAAACCCCAGCAAGGCAGTCTACATCCTCCCCCGCATAGTGAGAGACTTCACGGGCGACTACCACGTTTTGTCTTGGCCACCTTGACCTTCTTCCCAACCTAATC